TTTTAGCATCCCGTTCTAATTGGATCAAGTATTGGGACTGGATGACTCTAACATAAGCCCGATAGCCAATTGCATGAAGTTATTTCCATCCCAAATAGGGTTCAACTGAACGTTATTAAACTTCTAGTTAGTTCTCTTATTCACTTGCATGTTATTGCAATAGTAGCCACTGAAGTCTAGTTGAGAAATAAACGGTTTCGTTAAGGCGTTGATTGACCAACTGAAAAAACCTTTAATTTCCTAACTGAAAGTTTCGCCTAGTTATCACTAAGTCTCAATTATGTTGCCTGTTGGTAAGCTGGGAATTACCTGCATGCTCAAAAACATTTCAACTTTATAACGGAGAACATTGACTTTCTAAACTTAAACTTGCTGCTTCCCTAGTTGGATTTCCAGCTTAATAACTTAAACCGTTGATATTTCGTCTCTAAAATTGAACCTGGAGTTGAGTCGATTAAATTTTAATTGAACTGTTTACTCCTGCGTCCATTTAAGAAACATTTATTCTTTCAATATTACACTCAATAATAACAGAAAACTGCTGTGTTTAATACGTATATTTGCAGGCAAAGAAGCGACATCTGGTAAAAAAAATTATGATGTTTTAGTGTGTTTGTTTAGCATTTCAATAAATTTCTCAAAATTCCAGCTCCGTATGTCTTTTTTATTTTTTTATTATTATTTCTACATAAGGAGATGGAATTTTGTGAAATATATTCAAACGCAAAATGCCCTAAAAATATGAATCTGTTATCTCCAGATGTACATTATTTGCATGTAAATATACAGATTGAACAAGTTTTCTGTAAAATTAACCATAAATAATTTATTGATATATTTTTTTAACTAAAATATTGATGTTCTTTTTTATTATTTACTTGAATTTTGAAAAAATAATTTTTGGTAAAGGTTGAGTCCCTCAAGAATTTTACATACTTCGATACTGGATTACATTTTGTCTCAATACCATACAATAAGAATAACCTGCACTTAAATTCTCACTTTTGCTTCAGTTAAAATGTAATCAACTCAAATGCAAACTGAATTTCAGAGGCAAAAAATATGAACGGTACTATAAATTTCCAGAAAAAAACATGCATTCCTTGATGTCATTTTTATTTTTCGTGGCATAAAAGTTGAATTTTTCGAAATTTATTCAAATGCAAAGGACACAAAAAATCATCATCTTTGTGCTACAACCAAATGTAGCTTCTTTACTTGCAAATTTGCAAATTGCGAGTTGTTTAATATTTTACTCTTCCACTAAATTCTTAATGTTTTCTTTTATTATTAAGTTACTTTAAAATTGATGTGGTTTCTGTATAGTATCGTTCGTTTGACGTTCAAATTATGAAGAAAAATATGATTGTATAAAAAGGAAATGGATTACAATCAACGGCAGCATCATTTCCTAATAAAACAAAACATCAATATAAAATAGATTATAAATATTACAAATATTCGCTTATATCCTTAATCATTGCAAACGTGGAAATAAAAATCAAACTAGGACATATCAAATTAAAAAGTGTTATACAAGAAAATTAAATAAAAAATAGTCTATTTATCAATTAAATTGATAAAATCAATTGGAGTCAATACCGACTACAAATATATGCAAAGGCTTAAAGTAGCAACAACGCTACACATAGAAACTGATGATGGTTGAAAACACCGAAACGTATTTAAATTGATAAATAGACAATAAATGACTGAAGCCCAGGAATTGATTTTGATTTGGAATTGAAACACAGTCAGGAAAGTATGTACAATAAAAAATAGTATTTAACTGCGACAAAAAACATTTCTGGTGAAAACTGTCTACTAACCGGATAAAAATCAGCTATTTTTCAGCATTGTAAGCACCGACATATTAATTAATTGAAAAGCAAATAAACGAAATCCCTAAATCCGTAAGCAGAAAAATAAAAACGTGTTCAATTTTGGGGCGACTAAAAAATTATTTTCATTGTTTTCGCTTCGTAATAAATTTTTAGGTGAACGAAATAAACAGTTTTCACATCCTATTAAAAAGTATCACAGGTAATTTACGGTTTTCCTGCCCTTAATATTAACATAATGGGGAAAGAATGAGATTTTTCGCGTGTTAGTCGGATCTCAGATTGAAGGCAAAATCTCAAGATATACTGGGCGATATACAATCGCAGCACCAGTTTTTCTGGCAATCTAATTAAATACCTCGAGCCTTTAAATCACATAAACCGCAAATGTTTATTGAATTAAGCTCTACGTAGTTTGGAATATTTTGAGTTAATTCAACCAAGGCATAATCCACTTATTGCAAGCCATAAGTCCGAAACTGGCTATAACACAAGTTCGGAACGCTGGACAATGGGGTTTGTTAGGCCATTTGGGTTTATTATAGACCATTATGCAGATTGGCGTTATTGGCTTTACTTAATGCAGTTTTGGGAGTAAACTTCTGAATATAACGTGAAAAACTTGAATGAATGGCTTGTAGATTGCAACCGTATTCAAACCGCTGTAAACTGGTCAAATATTTTGTTTGATTTGGATCCGAGAGGCTAACGTGTTTTCTAATGCATTCGTTGTTCGTAGCGAGTTCGTAATGTGGTATCAGCCGAGGTATTTTGAGAAAATATGGGGATTTAACAAAAATACAGTAAAGGAAAAGCAAACATCAAAATAGCTCCGTAATTTTTTTCAGCCATAAATACAGTTGAACTGCATAGACGAGGCTTGCGTGTAAAAGGCCTGGAAATTTCATTCGTTCCATTGTCGATAAAATCGACAGTTGGACAACTTGTTAAATGCTAGCGTGAAAATAGGTTTTTTCAGTCAAGTGCCTTCTATGCTTTAAAAATTCCTTATCTAAAGCTAGTAGAAGCTGGAATCTTTCACAGACTATCGAAGAGACATCAAGCTTGAAGATTCGAAAATTTCATTAAAATTTTAACAAATTCAAAATTTTGGCAACCTGTTAAATATTAGAGTAAAAATAGCCTTTTTCATTCAATGCTCTCTATGTTGCAAAACTTTCTAAATCCTTATCAAAAGCTGATAATCACTGGAACCTTTTACAGTCGATTGAATAGACTCAAAACTAACTGACTAAAAGCTTGAAAATTTCATAGAAATGTCGATAAATTCTGAATTTCAGCAACCTGTAAATGCTGGCATAAATACGCGTTTTCACTCAAGTACACTCTATGTTCCAAACATTTCTAAATCTTTTACAGTCTATCGAAGACTTAAATCTGAAAGGTTTGAAAGTTTCATTTAAATTATTTTGTGACCTGTTAAATGCTGGCATAAAAATAGGCGTTTTTACTCTGTGTTCTAAACATGTTTAACTTTTAGTTAAAGCTGGAATCTTTTATGGTTTATAAAGGAGACTTAACTGAAAAACTTGAAAATTTCATTGAAATATCAAGTTCCTCAGTATGCATAGACCACAGCTTAAAGCACACATTTTTGGGTCACTATTAAGCTGCAAATGCTTTATAAAAATTCTGATGAAACTCAATTCTTATGAACTTATGAAATGATGGGTATGTTGTTGATATATGCTGAAAGTACAGAGCAAACTGGATAATATGCTGTAATTATTTATTACTAACACAAGTTTAAAGTTTTGGTTCAAAATATCACCCCGCTGTGTCACAGCGCAGTTTTGCTCTTCTATTAATTGAAGCTGCAACCACAATATTTTATGTTCAATAATGTTTGATTTGTGGTTTCTCGACACGCAAACGTTTTCATGTATTTACAAAAATATCAGTCAAGACAATTTAGATCGGGTGATCCAGGAGGCCAGTAAAGAACGCGAGGTCATGTAAAAACGTTAGAATATGATCGGATGTTAAACCCTCTTGAACCACGACCATTCCATAAAAAGATGATTAAGAATCTCCAAACAGCGCTGTTTGAAAATGTGTTTTCTAATGAGATTTCAAGAGCCCGTTAATGTAAAATTCCTGCTATTCGTAATTTCGTATCTGGTAAACATGTTTTCATCTGTAAACCGAGTGTGGCCACAAAGCTGTTGGTGTAGAAGAAATTACTTAATGCTTGCTAGCGTAGTCTCTTGCTACTCTTGCTAGCGTAGTCTGCAGGTTTCAAACTTTGAACAGATTGTATGTGTTTTGGGACAAACCGAACATGTTTATTCAAGTAACTTCAACGCGATTAGATATTCTTCGTACGCAACTAGAGAGACTGTTCTTGATCACTGTAAAAGTCTCATTCTGAGCATGAAACTTTTGCTGCATTAACCTTGAGAAAATGATGTGGATCTGTAAAATAGTTTCTTAAAGGGCAGTTTTTGAACAAAAAACTTTTGCTGATGTTCCCACAATAAACCTCAAGAATTTTCATGCTGCATATAGTTTTTGCGCCTATGATCAAGGAGATACTATCGGTTATAGTCAACTTGAATAAATCCTTTCAGTTTTCCCCTACAGGAAGAATTGCATTGGAAATATTGATGCCTCAAAACGCTGTCTGAATATAAAAATAAACCCGCTAGGTTATTGAATCCTAAAATATCCTGGCAAATCCTTACGATTTTACTACTACTACTCGTTATAAATAGCCATTGCATGTTCCCATCAATTAATTCCCTTTGGAACGGTTACTGGTGCCTGTTTGTATAGGTCAAAAACCTTATAATAATACATTCATTCACATCATTCTATACCTACACCTAAATATAAAATCCGATAGATATATTGCAAATGTACACTGTGGCACAAATTCTTGTCAAAAACCCGCACCGAAATACGGATAGTTTCGCAGGCGGGATATAAATCGAATTTAATTCCGGTCTGTCTGCATGGCACATCATAAATCTGGAAAACCGGAAAAGCCGTACGGTTGCCAGATACGGTCGTTGAACTTTAAATTCGAAATGTCTGCATTTCACCCACTAGTTTAGTTTGCCCAATAAAAGGAATCGATGAAATTTGCCAGTTTCTTTTGCAGGATATAAGAAAAATTATTGATGGATGTTCACTTACGTGTGCCATCAAATCTGGTTGCAATCGTGTCTAGGAAGGTGTTTTGGGGCGCCAAAAGCCCCCTTCGAGCAGGCATCGGACCTGGGAACTTTTGAAGAACTGTTCTGAAAAAGAAATTAACTTTCTTTTACTAAATGTCTTTCATACAACAGGAATTGATTTGACAATAAATCTTTTAGCTTTTGCCTATACAAAAGTGAATTTATTCATAAATCTGGAAAATCCGATTATTTGAAGGTTTTCAACAGGAGAGTTCCTATCCAATTATTCACGCGCTGAAAGATTGAACAACTGTTTATTTATCAGCCATTTCATTGGGACGTTACGCGGCTCTGAGCCGTTAAAGTATTTGTTTTCCTTCACGAAAATCCAATAAACAGTTTTTAATTTCTATCATAAAGAGTTAATAAGGTTTCAGCATGCGATTGCTCATTAGGAAACTGTGCAACTAGGCCAAATGTTCATTACACTCATTAGGCGAATATAAAGAATACAATCTAAATGTATTTTGTAATGTTTTTTAGTTGCCTTTGGGTAAGCTGTAAACCTACTTTCAGTTTAGAAAAATTATTGTGGAGCTTCTCACCTACAACCGAAAATTCAATTGAAAATGATAATCTTGTCGTCCCTTTTCCAGCTTAAAGTGGCAGTTAAAATTATTTCAAACCGAAAATTCCATGTGGGAATTCGGAAATTTCCAACTTTGGCTCGACCCGATCCCAGTAGGTTTCCATTGAAATTGAAATTTCTGGTCCTATCGATGTTTATTAAAACCTTGATAGGCATACGGAATCAGGCCAAAATCCCTCAAAATGCTAATAAGCTTTACAACACATTCCATCATTAAAGCCACGTAATCGATGTAAGTTAATTCATGGAAATTTAGAGACTTCAAAAGTAACATATTATTCCATATTCTAACAGGCGCGTGTACAAAATAACTGAAGCTTTGGAAACAAAAAAGTTCTGTTCTGATTTCTTCTTGTTCACCATGTATGCTGATAATACAGCCTTCTTAGCATCAAGCAACAACTGAAGCAATACCTTCTCGAAAATTGCTTTCTACATGGTAAGTTAACTTTAGTTAGTTTAGTTATAAATAAAGTTTGCTAAATGTCTATGAATAGATTTAAAGTAATAATAAAAAGACTTTGAAAACATTCAAAACCCTCCAGTAATGAATAAAGCCATGCTATTCTAAGACCATTCTTTATTAGGTTCTACTAAATGGCAAATAAATTTAAAGCGAATTTCTCGGAGAGACCAAATAAATTATTCTGGGGCAGTTGAATATACAATCCGGAAAATCCGCTCATTCTGAAGAACTTAAGCTAGTTTATTTACCTCGAGGAAACTAGTTGAATTAATCAAAATGGTAATTAATGAGCTTCTCTGATGAATAGAATAAAAGCTCGTTTTAGTATAAGGAACATTTTACAATTTTAATGCGATGTAAATGAGTACTTCAGAATAATGGAGATGGAAAGTTCAGTTGATCAATTTGAGCCAGCGACAAGTTGCTTGTAGCAACAATCTAAGCAGAACTTTCCGCATAGAGCTAAAGCAAAGGAAATAAGTTAGAAGCTAATCGCGACCGAATAAATTTATAGATAAAGCGGAACGTAAATAAGCAACTGAATAAATCGCTTCCACTTTGGCAATTCGGATGAAACATCTCAATTAAATTAAGGGGCAATATTAGCACAAAGCGGATGATAAATTTCAGCTTCAAGCAACTTTCCACGAAGGTTTCCCTGCATGGTCACGTAATTCCGCAATTTAATATGAGTATTGAAAACACAAAAACCACTGCAAGCACGTATTGAGGATAAATATGAATCAAAATGAAAAAAGTGGTTTCCAATTTGCTCGCAGACTTTATTCAACGGACAAATGAAATGGCCATGCGGAATATTTGAAATATTCCTGCTAGGATAAAGCGAGAAATGGAGCAAAAATCAGAAAATTTTATAAAATAAAATATGCATTTGTCCACCGTTCACTCGATTGTTGTATGTAAATGAAAAATGAAGTGCTATTCATGAATAGGGGAAAAACGAACATTTTGTTAGCTGCTGCAATGTAACTGAAACTTGTGTAGATTTGTGAAATTTGTCCAAAACTTGGGTTTGCAAAGTAGATGAACTCGGCTCGACTGGCTTAAAAATAAACTTCCTGATTTCATAACTTACTAGAGTATGACACACACGTTTTAATTTTTCATATTTTCATAATTAATAGTACCGGCTAAGATCGGCGATGGTCACAAAAGCTCTCAAAACACTTCAAATGATTGTTGGGTAAATTCGTAAAATTCACTTTCCGCCATTTATTCATTTGGAATTTTTACCCACGTTTGAAAATTGTCTGTTACATTCGACAAAATGATTACAAATTATCCATTTAAAAATTTTGCAACCATCTTTTATCGGCTGTTCATTGTTTGTAAACGCATTTTTTTTCACTGAGTGTCGTGTCTGAAGGGTTCGGCACAACAAATTCATTAGAATCTGATGAGTTGTTCGGGCTTTTAGCTTGTCGTGGCAAATCAGGAAAAACTCATTAGTTTCTAATTGATTTGTTGTGTCGAGCCCTCCGGCACAGAAAAAATAAAAACTAAAAGAAATAAAAATAAAACTGAACCGTAGGCACATTTTGAGTTTTTTTACTTCAAAACCAGTGTCGTGCCCAGCTCGGCACAACAAATCCATTAGTAACTGATGAGTTTCTTGGACTTTTAGGTCGTAGAAAAGCACGCAAAACTCATTCGTTTCGAACGGATTTGTTGTGCCAAGCCCTTCGGGCACGACACTGATCGAAATACAAAAGAGAACAATTTGCAAATTTTGAGTTGTTGACTTGGACACCAGGCACATCAAATCCATTAGAAACTGATTTTCGTTCTGAAACTGTTTTTGGACTTTTAAGTCGTCGTGGAAAAGCACGAAAAAGTAAATTTTTTAATCATCTTATCCAACCGGAGCTTAATTTTTGACGATTTATTATCATCTACTGTCCAATTAGTGTTTTTTTCTAATTTTCATTGAAAGCGTTCTGAAAACATAAAAACCGGCAATTTTTATGGGCAACTTCGCATTTCAAGCAGGAAAAGTGGAACCAAGCAGAAAAAGTGCTCATTTAAGTAAAAATTGAAACTTTCGTAAATATCACAGCTGATAAAGGGCATATATTTCGAGTCGTGTTAATCACAGGCCCCCAAGACTAGTTTCGAGCCTATTAGCGCTCATCAACCGGGCTCAGTCTAAAAATATGCTTTATTTCGCCAATGTATTTGACGTGAAATGAGGGCTATAAGCTCTAAACATATCCTGAGATGCCTGAGATTAATACATCAGGCAATTCTAAGCAATATTCACATTTAATGTTAAAAGGTTGCACATTTCTGCTTGCACATTTCTGCTTTTGCAGCTTTCAGTGTAAAGTTCAAAGGTAACTTTCCTAATTGAAAAAAATGCTGCGTGGAATCCTAGATACAATTAGACAGTGCTAGGCTCGTATTTTCAACTTTGCCCATTAGTGATGAAATGAAATAAAGTTCTAGATCCCGCTTAGTGGAATTAAGAAAGTTCTTTATCGCTACGTATATTTCCATCAGCTCACTATTTCCGACAAAGTAAATGAAACTTTTTCCGCACGAGTTTAACGTGCACTCCCTTATTGCTTTGGACATCTGAACCATTCGATTAAAAGCGTGCCATCAAGTTGATCTTTCAGATTCAAACATCGGTTTTCAGTGGGTTTTATAAAAGTCGTACAACAAACAAGAGAAAAAAACTTACAACCTCGTTGCTTGAAATTAGGTATGCGGAATACACTACAATCTTAATGAATCCTCATGCAAGTAATCGAATCAAAGCGAAAGGGCTCAGATCAACTTCGTAGCAAGATATCTTGTTAGCGCAGTCAAGTTTGAAATTGGGGACGTTCAAGTCGGGGCTCAAGGATGTCTAGTTTAGCATGGATACCTAATGAAGCATAATTCAGATTAGACTGATCAGCCTCGAAATAATTACTACTTAGTTATACTAATGGACTTTTCATTTGCCCAATATACAGCTCAAAGCTCAAGTAAATAAAACGGCGCTTTAATGCTGTTTTTTTTCTAAAACGTGTTTGATGCATTAAGAATAAACATCAGTTTCAAGGAAAAAGCCCCAAACAACTGACCTCTTTTAAATCATTCTGAATTATTGCTCAGTTTCGCACGACGTTGTTTACTTTCACGTGAAAATTTGAATTACGTTCCTCTAGTGGATTATTAGTTCTACTTTTTACAACAGTTTCATTATTTAGCTGTTTTGGATTTAAGTTAAAATGCCCTAGTTTGATGAATTGTTTGCAGAGCAACAGGAAACATCAAGAAAACTAATTGGGAATGCAGCTATTAACTGGATTTTCTGTATTTTATATGTCGTTAATAACAACAGAATAACTAGTGAGGTTTTCGAGCTTTTAGGCAAAGGTGGAAAAGAAGTTCCTCCCGACGTTTCGCAAGCTTGAATGGTTTGCATCTTCAGATTGGTGCTGCGTCAAGTAAGCGAAAACTATTTACTTTTACGCTATAACTGTGAAAGCTTCAAAAATTACAGCTTTCTCAAAATAAATTGGACCAAAATATAGATAATCGCAGGTTTTTCTTCGAACTGATACAGTGTTCCAAATAGAGATTTTGTAGAAGCAAAAAAAAATCGCTTTCAAAAATTCAAAGAAACTTTACAAGTTCTTTGCACCTTTCGAATTTTTAATATATTGGCATAAACTTCTGGCTGAGTTATCGTTAAAAACTTTCCAGTTTTGAATCACATCATTGAAGCAAATCGCTACAGCGGAAAATATTTTCCAGCTTTCAGAGATCAAAGAAGAAACACATACATGGCATAAAAGTGCATATTGGCTGCTTCCATTGAAGCATTCAAATTTTAAAATTAAAGGGACATTTTTCCCAATCGAACTTAGTAATCAAGGAATAATTTTCCATTCAGTTAAGTCGATCGAAACGGGAAAGGCGAAAATATCCTGAAAAAACCAACATCAATATATTAATTAACATTCTAAATTTAAACACACTTTTCAAGGAAAACACCCCCAACTCTTTCTCTAATATTTTCCATCCAACTACTTACAAATTCATTACTGCAACTAACAAATAATACTTTTGCAAAGCCTAACAAAACTTTAACCGTGAACGTTGGCGCTTGGTCTGATTTTCCAATGTAAACTTCACTCAAGTTAAGTATTCCATCAGAGAGTGTTGAAAATTTTGAAAATTACAATATCTGATAGACAGTCAATCAATTAGTTTACATTCCGAGACGATTGGCTGGGTTCCAGAGTAGAAAAATCGACAATAATCGCGATTTTGTAACAAAAGCAACAGGTATTTTCCGGCCTGTTTAATTTCCTTTGACTTACCAAAAAAAATGCTCCTATTCAATTAGTGCCTGCATTCTGGCTGGATTTTTAAGGTTTCCAGCATCTTGCACTTGAAAAAACTAATTAGCAATGCCCATTGCAAATAACCACATTTCTTATGCGGACTGTTGAAAAACCCGCTTGAAACTACAGTTTATGCATTTTGGGGCACTTTTGCTCTTAACAGCAGGAAAAAATGGTGCGCTGATCAGTCCAAGTTTTCTCAAAAATTTTCAAAGTATTCGCGAAAAACCGCGCGTAAGACTCACCGTCCGTGGTATATCGCACAGGGGAAATTCGAACTGTGAGCCAGCTTTCCCGGGAACATTAGTATTATCCCGTAGGATAGTTTGGCGGACGCTTGCGCCAACTTACTGGAAGCTACAAGAGCTAGTGGCCTTTTGAAGAAAATTAAACCATCGAATGGTAATAACAATAGCCACTTGAAACTCCAATTTACTCAACTAAAATGGGGATTTTTTGTGTGATTTGATTTTATACGCAAATTCTTGTTGATGTTCTGAAATTGAATTTTCATCCTTCCGTTGTTTCTGATTTTCAAGTTTACAAGAACACTTTACGGCAGAAAGTTAGATTATAATCTTCGAAGATTGTCTAGCTTCCGCCAGCTGCCTGCTGAGTTTGTTCGGAATAAAGTTATCATTGCAACACCCAATGTGCTCTAAGTAAACTTTGTTATCACTATTAAAATACAGCAAATCGATAAAGGTGCGATCCCAAATAGATTTGAAATTATCAAGCTGGTGACTTCTGAATTTTCAGGTTTTTTCAGGGCAATAAAAGCGCTTTTATGTCTTAAACGAGATTTGAAACGTTGGTCTTCAACTGAAAGATAAGTTAGGAGTCTTTCAGTAGCACTAGAGGATTTTTTTTTTTTTATTTAAGATGTTGAATTTTATTTGAAATGTTCGTGATTTGCCTGAAAATTTTGAAATACGTGTCTAAATTTGGCCGCTTAATATATGCAATTTGGCGCTATTTCTAAAGCAGATAAACGTCTTAAGAAGAGATTCTTTCGAATGGTAAGCGTAAAAAATTTGCGAAAGTAACCCAAAAACTTTCTGTTTCAGTGGAATAATTTCCAAATTTTAAACAATCACCATATACGAAGCGCTGTCCAGATTTTCGTAATTTTCGGGAAAAACTGAGATAAGAACCAGTTTTGTGCTTGCAAAGCCTCAAAGGTCGTCGGGCTTAACCGCTGAATATAACCCTTTTAGCACCATTTCGTATTGCATAAAATTTGTACACTTTCAGTAGACAGTTTGTTCCTTTTGGCCTCCAATTTAAACGCGAAAAATGTAAATTTCAGTGGCATTTGATGAGCTTGAATCGATTAGGTAATACAAATTTTATCGTTTTTTTTTGGTAGATTTAAATCTAAGCTCAGTTTCTCCATACTTAAGCATAAGGTAGGCATACTTTTAATTAATGATGAAAAGCCGTATTAAAACACTTCTTCGTTTTAACATTTTTTGTTTGCCAAAGTGTCCCTTGATATTAAAGTGTACATATATACATGGATCCAGCAGGAGGCGTTTGCTAGATTTTGATATGAGCACAATTTGCGTACAATTTGATCAAAGTGATGTGTCAAGTGTTTAGTGAATGAAATGAGGAAATTCAAACGTACGCGCCTTATAGAGAACAATTTCATCTAAGCAACCTAAAAATGAGACTAAAATACCGTATAAGTTATAATTTCCACGACTGTAAAAATTGAATATACAAGTGAACTAGTCCAAAGTTTGCAACTAAATTGTTAAAACTTTATAACTTCCAATAAAAAAGTATCTTCAAATCTTCACTGAAATTTGAACATTAACAGTACCAAAAAAAGCTAAAAATGTTGTGCAATTTTGACTTTTTACGGCTGTAAATATCGGTTGTACAAGTGAACGCATCCAAAGATCTGCGTCCCTGTTTTTTAAAATTCGGAACTTAAATCCAAAGAAATGAGAAAATTCAAATTACCGCACTTTATAGAGGAAAATTTCATATAAATAAATGAAGCTAAAACTCCTTATTAGTTCTTATTTCCAGGATTGTAAAAATTGAATCTACAAGTGAACGCTTCGAAAGATCTGCAACTGCATTATTGACTTCGAATCCAACTTTGTAACTTCGAGTCCAAAATAAAGATCAAATTCAAATTTTCTCGGCTTGTCCAATTAAATTTCAGCTCAAGGGTCTAAAAATAAAGCAAAAATGATATGTAAATCTGATTTTTGCAACCGTTTTTTAAAATTTGTAACTTATCTAATCCAAAGAAACGGCCAACTTTATTTTTTTTCAACCTATCGAGGATTATTTTAGCTGATCGGTCTAAAAGTAAGCTAATTTTCAGTTAAATTTTATCTGTAATCCATATGGTTCCATCTTTACACAGTTTTTCGCTATAGGAAAGAAACATAAAAAAATTGTCTTCAGATTCATCAAACACTTTCTCACAAAGCGATCAAGTTTCCGACTGTTTTCCAAGCAACTCAGGGTTTTACTTTGGTTTTGATTGTGATCAAATCCATTTCCATCAATAAATTGATGCACAATCTCCCGAAATATTGTCGCTTTAGCTTCAAACCGAATAGACACAAATTAACGCCAGAAATCCCGAAATAGCTAACTCTAATAGTTCATTACAACAGCAAGGCAAATACGTAATAGCTGTCGCAAAATGATCGATGTCTAGTAATATATAGTGTTAGCTCTAAATCCTCATAATTCATAGCGGGAAAAGAGAGGGAAGTCGGTTTAATTAGCCAAACTGATATTCGTTTGGACATAAATAAATGGCTTCAATTTATACGTTTCTCAGTCTTTAATTTTCTTCGAAACTTTCCCTATTATCTGGATTGTCCTCTGGACTAACTGAAACATCTGCAAACAGAAAAATGGTCCATGGCTATGAAAAGCACATTAAACCTGAAGCAAACTCAAACTAGCCAACATTAATCGGCTATTTTTACAGAAACAGTTCGCTTGCTTGAAAGCACCGGATGTCGTTTTTTTCCTTGGGTCGTCCAAAAACAAAAGTATCTTGCACCGTTTAAGACAAAATCGTTTGCAAATGTGCGTGCCCGATAGTCCAGAAAATTACGCAACCCTCAATTACCAAAATGCTTAATCTACTTTACCGCACAAGTTGTAGGAAAATTGGCCTTACTTCAATTTTTTCATCATTGCGCCACAAACAGTTCACTTTACACACATTAACTGTTGCACATACACACCGATCTATTAAGACTGCAGGAAAAAATGAGTCTTAGTGTGTGCTCACATTTTATGGGAAATAAGGAAAACAGACTTGTTTGTTTTATCACAGTAAAATATCAAACAGTATACACCAGTGAGCGCTTTTATTGTTAATTCGGCCAATAAGTATCAATTAATGTAATGTGATGTTTGCCGTTTGCTTCAAAAAGTATTTGCTGTTAAATCTTAGTTTTTTCGAAAAAGGGACAACCTAAACAGAGAAAAAGACTTAATTTTAAATACTTTATTTCTCATAAAAAGTATTATATCTATAATTAAGAAACATGTATAAAATGAAAATAACAACGTGTAAACTTCTAACAATTTTTCCATAAGATTCTGCCACAGCATGATTTTGTTGTCCACCAGTAGAACGATTATTGAAGCAAGGAGCTAAATCTACGAAGCAGTTGCGTATATAATAAGGCTTAGTAGAACAGGCTTAAACCCTGGCTTTGTTAAACACATCTCCGTTTCACCCTCTCAAATTCAAAGCACTCAATACATCTAGTCTAACTTAGTAATGCCAATACTAAGATGATTATATTAAAAAACCTTTGAAAGAAAATGGCAAATGAATCTATCTAGTCCTCTAAAACCCATTATATTGCTAATAGTAGTGCGCGAATAAAAAATTGACCAGTGCAGTTAAATCAAACAGACTGCTTAATTATTCATCTCCAAGTGGAAAATGCCGCCGTATTCCTTCTTGTCGCTATCCGAGCCTGGAGGGCGAAGCTCTGGATTCCCTCCTCTGCTCCCAATAGTCTGCTCATCTCCCTCCTTCTTGATTTCGACGTCGGAACTTTCGCTTTCACTATTGCGACGGTCGTGCGATCGTTTCTTGTTGCGCGCTTTTCGTTGGTTCTTCTTCTTCTGGCCCAGGATGCTGGAATTGGACCTGTGAACAACCGAGAAGAGATTTAGAGGACTGAAAAGTGAAGAGTTTCACACACTCACCGAAACAACTGCTTGACTACCACATCGTTGAAGCGAACGGTTTTCTTGAAGCTGGAAGACATTTCGTCTTCCTCCCTTGAATCTTCCGGGACGCATTCAATACTGCCTTGGTAGTTTTCGAACGATGAGCAAATAAAATCGTCCAGACTGGACTCCGAAACACTTCGCCCGAATTTCGATCTACTTCCTGATAGTCGCTTGAGAATTCCTTTGCTTTTCCTTGGCGAAAAGCTGCTTGCGCTTAATTCATCGCCACTAGACTCATATGAAGTCAGAATGTCAATAGCAGAAGTCGATTTTAAAAGCTGGGGGTTCTGTGGAGGTTTTTCCTTCTTTGGGAAGTTTTCTTTCACTGCATGATTTTCAGTTGGTGGTTTTTCCTGCAGCTCTGGGTGCTCATGAATGGTGCTGATTATTATGGGTTCTTCGATAAACTTTTTACTCAATTTCGCCTCATCCATACCATACAGGTACGAGATTAATTTGCTTTCACTAGCCTTCAAGGGGATTTGAAGAATCACGTTATTGTCCCAGGTCTCAATGGTTGTGCCGTCCTCCTTGATCTCATGCTGAGGAAACTGCACGTAGAAGGCATAAGATGTGGGGTAAAAACTAGAACTAACATTAGTAAATTTAACTTTAACTATCGATTTTTCATAGATAGTTTGTTTGCACACTGTGGCTTCATCCACATTTTTAACATTAAAAGTAAAAGCAACCGTGCTATCAAATACGTTACAAGTAAATTCAGGTAAGTTGTAGAGATCACTGCTGTTGAGGAAGTCATCGTCAACTGCTTGGGTTTTCACTGTCTTATCACTAGAAGCATCGGTCTTTTCACTAGGTTTCACTGATGGCTCTTCTTCGTCCGATTCAAAGCTTGTTGGGCTATTCAGGTCGCTTTCGACGCAACTTTCCACACCACTGTCGTCCCTTGTAGGTTCGAATGCAGTTCTTTGAACCGGCAATGTTATCACAAGTTTCTTTTGATCTTTATCAAACTTGGCAGTACCACTGGTTTCACTTACTTGATATGGAAGGGTGAGGTTCAGTTTGTACTTTGCAGGTTTTTCGCTTACTAGATGGACAGTTTTCTCAGTCACATCCAGCTCCATATCGCTGGATGCTCGAAGGAGTGGAAGATTGATTTCCACAATAAGCTGTTTGGGGATGGCGGCATTGAGTTTGGCATTTTTGTGTTCGGTGAAGTCTTGCATATCTATGTGAGTGCTGTGTTTGATTACGTATTTCGGTGTGGTATAAATGGGGTTTTCATGACTATTTCGTCGACTTCTCGATTTGGTTGAGGTCTTTTTCGGCCGCTGAGAGTCGATTTCTGAATAGATTTTATCGAATAATGCCTGCTCTTCGGGGGTCTTTTCAGTGGGTTTTTCTGATGTAGGTCTGCGCAAAATGCTGGCCCGTTGCAGGCCCTTGAAAGACATTTTGGGGTGCTTAAGGTTTTTCTTGTCCAACGTCACATTGAAGCTGTGCTCCACTGCTTCAAGGGCTACGTTATTAACCATTGAGCGAAAGTCGCCGTTTTTACTGGCAAGGTGCAACGTGTTGGGGTGAAAGAGCACATCGTAGACCTGACAGCGAGCTCCTCTGTTATCAACGTCCTCGTGAGGAGGTGAGAGCGAATGAGGAAGAGACCATTGAAGCCCCTTAGTTCCATCCTTCACCGTTGGGGAAGAGGAGGGCTTAGCTATGTTGGTGTTGGAGCAGATATTGATAAATCCTTTGCCACTTCCGTTCACGCTGGTTTTTATGACATAACCTGGTGTAGGATGTAAAAACGTCACTTCCTGACCCCTTTCTTTCTCCAAGTTTTTCACTTCCTCCTCATAGATTTGTCGATTTTTCGGATCTTGAATTTCGTCAACGTAGTCGCCCAGCAACTTACGGAATTCTTCGTTTCTGAGGGCTTCGCCTAGTCGGTTCACTTCGTCTCGGGACAAATCTAATTCTTTAAGCCGGTCGAATGAACTTGCCATTACAAAAACACCACGTAATCCTTGCCTAAAAATAGTGCAAACACTGAAGAAACACCCAGGGAAATGCGCGAAACCAAAATAAATAATGAGGCCTTCGAGATTTGTATGCGTAGTTCACGTGGACAAATCAGCCGGTTTGTTTTGACAACGAAGACGTCAGGATCAGCTTGGGTTAACTCGCGGGAAATTTGAAACGTTTCACAGTCAATTATTAGCGCCTTGGCTATGATTCGTTCGCAGTATTTAGATCAAATGCTATCGAATGTTGTCGCAATAATGAGGACAATTGCGTAATGCTCCTTATCGACCTAACGAAACGTTCCTGCTTGTATAAATAGATAATTTTGGTTCATGGCAACGGAAAAACACCCGCCATATCAATGGAATGATACTTGATAAATATCAACATGCGAATTGTGATTCAGATATTCGCTAATTCACTTAATTTTGCTAAAAGCTGATCATGTACTTGATATTTACGTTTTAAGAATGTTTTATGAAATGCTTAAAAGTGAGCAATTTTCCAAAAATTCCGAAACTATCGACGACACGGAGCTTCGAATGAAGAAGCGAAAAAATTGACTTTCTCAGGCAAAAAGTCACAAAAAACTCACGTTAACAACCTATTTGGGACGTTTGTAGGCCATAGAAATAACTAATTAAGCCTCTAGAAGCTTACGCTTTTGCTTCAAAACTTTCAAAAACATTTTTTTAAGCAAAAGTTCTACCTTCTTGATTATCAACTTCCAAGGGCTGATCCAAGGGGGGTCATGGGGGTCATGAGCCCACATTCAATTTTCTATCTAACGATGCCAAAACGAATTCTGTGGCTCGAATGGTTCTTGAGAAACTTCGAAAAAAGCAGCGTCATGACTTCAAGCCTTTTTTGGGAAAACTGCCACCATTTCCCCATCCATGGTTCACTTTCTAAAAAGGCCATTTATTTCTCTCTAGAATGATGTACACATGAGCGTTCTTGCTCATTTTGCCTCCGAAATATGAGCAAAAACGGGCCGGAAATCATGAAATTTTGGCATAATCTTGAACCTAAGTGTTTGATATTCAAATTTCGCTTTCTGGGCCAAAACTATTCGAATTT